TGATCATAATCGCCCAGCCAGCAAACTTATGTGGGGCCCAGATGGGTGGAACCTGGGCTATCTAACTGGGGGCCCAGCCAGTTTTGTCCTCAGCTTCTATGAGGGCCCCACATGAGTTAATGAAATGAACTCTGCTCAGTATGCATACTACAGAGTGCTAAAAATAAGACTGAAGCAGCATTGCAGTTCATTAGATAATTGAGTGATTAATTGAGTACTGATTGAGCATTAGTGACGAACACCTGCTTAAGAAAAAAAGAGAGAAGCAGAAACACCACCTGTTGGCCCCAAAGAAGCCCCGACGAGGCACGATCAAGCCCCAGAAGTGAGAGTGGAAATGCGACTTGCCCTGCCACACATTAGCTTACAAATAGCGTAGTAAGTGAAATTAGAAAAGCAAAAGTGAAATTTCATATAAGAGATGAGGGAAAAGGAAATACAAAATGAATATGGGAAAATTAACAGGAAATTCTAAAAAGCCAGTGACAAAAACAGAACTAGATTTGGAACGAAAACATTATCTGTTAGATTTGCATACACAAGGTAAGAGTTGTGGAAGTGTACATAAGACTGTAAACGTAAAATACATTTGCATGCGTAAGAGAAGATTTGTAAAGGTGTAAATTGCGTTTCAAGCATAAGAAAAAATTTGCATTTTTTTCCCAGTCTTATTTTCTTTTCTTTTACGCTTACAGTCTTATGTACACTTTCACAACTCTTACCCTGCGTATGCAAATCTTTTTGACGTCATTCTACCTTCATACTAAAGCCCTGAAAAAAAATTACATACTAATCTTACAAAAATGTGTGCTATTGAAATGTTTGTGAAGTGAAAAGAAGTGAAGTGACCTGTGGCCAAGTATGGTGACCGATACTCAGAATTTGTGCTCTGCATTTAACCCATTCAAGTGCACACTAGTTTTGAGCGATATGGCCATTTTTCAAATCGTCAAATCACCAACCCGTGAGATCGCCGATACACAATATTATCGTGCGTGCATGGGTGGGTGGGGGCAAGAGAGAGACTCTCTGTACTTATAGGCTATTTCATAACTATGTGGTGTTTTAAACCACGCAGGCGTGCGAGAGAGAGAGCCTATGAAAGCACCAATAATCGAAATAATATACTTTCAAACATACGATAAACTTGTCAAATATAAAAACATCTAAAACAGCTATTTCATATATATTCGGATACAACAGTAATACATTGCTATTAGGACCGCACGTCCTGTGACAAGTTTGCTGCATCAGAGCATGGACGTTATCAGTCTAAATAAAGCCCTGAAAAAAAATTACATACTAATCTTACTGGTTAACAATTGACTCATGAGCTTCAGTTGTCAGTCAAGAAAATAATCTAAATGAATAAAATGCTGCCATTATAAAATTCACCAGATTTATGTGCTGCATGCAAGTTCAGGCAACTCAAAAACTTGTGTACATGAGCTGAGACCTGACTTGAGATCTGATCATAGCCACCGCTCACGTCCATACTGATAAATTCCAAGTATTGTGTAGAAACGACCGTACGCCCACTTTTCTGTTGTACGTTTGTTTCGTAAACGAGGCCCAAAGAGTTTCTCTCTCTTTTATGATATAAGTTGTATCACAGCTAGATGTGCCTTATATAGTTTTAATGCACTTTGTATCAAGTGGTTCTTTGCCTCTATGTTGTGCATTAAAATAACAACGCACACCTAGCCAAGGGTTTTCGCTTACATACTTACAAATGACAGGGAGGTATCTGAAAGTGTTCTCTACATTTGATCAGTGTTCTTTTTCAAACATCTTATTTAAGTTTTTTATATTGTGCTTCAGAATATATTTAACTCATGAAATATACTTAAAATATATTACATACGTTATAATTATATAATTATTAGGGCTGCCCCTATTAGTCCACTAACCGTTAGTCGACGAGAAGAGGCTTAGTCGATAGAAAAAATTTGTATTGCTTAGTCGCAGGAAAAAATTTAATAAAATAAATAAATCACAGAAAGTGGCGAAGTCATGGACAGATTATTAACAGCTAGTCTGTGTGCTAATCACAGTACATCGGTCAGGACACGCAAACGTTCATTTCATTCACCGACTTCAAATGAGGCTTATCATCTGAAACATGAACATAAGAGCAGA